CGTTGAACCGAATCCATGTTAAAATTTACTGCAATACTGCCAACCTTCAAGTTATCTGCTAAATGTTTGTTCATGCGTCAGAATAAGCACAAAGTGCCCGTGCTTCAAATTCAATATGAAGCCACTGTGATTCATTATTAGCAGTTTTTCCGCAATTTGTGGCTGCTTTTATATGAGCAACACATAGCCGAATAGTAAATTCCAATTGATTTTCAAAGCCACTTTAAAACGTTTACGTAAGCAAACAATTTTAGATGAAAATACTGTGACATCTCTATCAGAACACCGGAACAAAACGCCAGGGTCCAGAACAAGGAAGATCTTTCAGCAGTCAACTTGTGTACAACTTGAAGGAATTATTAGAAGTGGTGTTTATTGCACTTGAACGTAAGAGCGGAAGTCGAAAACGTGGAAAGGCTGGCAGTATAAATATTGGAAAAGAAATAAGAAAAACAACATTTTAGGGCGTCATTCAGAATAGGGGGTCCCCTTCCAGATGAAAAATAAAGAGCAATTTAGGGGGACAATAAAGTTACACAAAACCTAATTTTGAGTGCTCGACACTAAGATATACCAGCATCGTTCTGGTTTCTAGGAACTTCTGGTGACCTAGAAGCAAAAGTAGGGAGGAAACCAAAGAAATTTAAGGATATGCCGCCTTGCCGGAAGGAAACCTCTTCAGCAATCAGTGTGCGGGAGACGCCACATTAATGGAATTTGTTTCAGCACTGCCTTTTAGCAGCCATTTAACTGACTGTAATTAAACTATATAAGAAAATTTCCACAATACTCTTGAAGGTTTTCGTGACCACGCTCACACGTCGATCGATACCATATAACACCTTACTTCCTTAAACAGTTTTGGGAAATAATATCGGATGAGCATGGAATCGATAACACTGGTGCCTACCATGGTGAATCTGATGAGCAACTAGAGCGAATCAACGTCTACTACTCAGAGGCCGCCGGAGGCAAGTATGTTCCACGATGCATCCTCATTGATTTGGAGCCGGGTACCATGGACAGTGTCCGGGCCGGGCCGTTGGGTGGACTCTTCCGTCCCGACAACTTCATTTTCGGACAGAGCGGAGCAGGCAATAACTGGGCCAAGGGACACTACACAGAGGGTGCGGAACTTGTGGACTCTGTGCTGGATGTGCTTCGTAAGGAGGTCGAGGCTTGCGACTGTCTGCAGGGCTTCCAACTCTGCCATTCTCTCGGTGGAGGCACCGGCTCGGGAATGGGAACCCTGTTGGTGTCAAAAATGCGTGAGGAGTATCCGGACAGAATCATGATGACCTTCTCAGTCGTTCCCTCCCCCAAGGTCAGTTACTTTTATATTATTTGTGCATTAGGTCCTGACACAGAACAAGAAGCCAAATGGCTGCTTCGGTTTCCAATACTTTCATGCACCCTTCCTTGCGTTATGAGGCATTCGACGAGGCGCTTGATTGTTTTGCAGGCTACATAAACCATCCGCTGGTGGGTGTAACTGAGAGGCATGAATTAGGTCACTGTGTTATGGCATCAACAAAACGCGAATATTATTTCTCCTGACATACAAGTTAAATATAGAATAAAAGACCAAAGGGTCTGCAAA